GGAAATATATTCATCTAGTGAACGTAAGGGTTTGAAAGGTAACTAACGCACATGTGTAGAGAAAATTGTGCATCGGCCAGTCTGGCCGGCATTTCGCACTTATAGTGCAACTAGGGCCAAGGAGAACGGAAACGCTCATTTCTCAAAAAGTAAAGGGAATCTAGCAGTCTCACTCGATCAGAAGGTGGGAAATATATAAATCTAGTGAGCTAATAAGGTTTGAAAGGAATCTAATGCATATGTATATGGAAAATGGTGCATTGGCCAGGTCGTTCAGTATGGGAACTTAGAGTGCAAATGCCAGGGAGAACGGAAGCGCTCAGATCTCGCATAGTACACGGAATCTAGTGGTCTCACTCAAATAGAAGGTAGGAAAAAAATTCATCTAGTGAACATAAGGGTTTGAAAGGTAACTAACGCACATGTGTAGAGAAAATGGTGCATCGGCCAGTCTGGCCGGCATTTCGCACTTATAGTGCAAGTAGGGCCAAGGAGAACGGAAACGCTCATTTCTCAAAAAGTAAAGGGAATATAGCGATCTCACTCGATCAGAAGGTGGGAAATATATAAATCTAGTGAGCTAATAAGGTTTGGAAGGAATCTAATGCATATGTATATAGAGAGTGGTGCATTGGCCAGGTCGGTCAGTATGGGAACTTAGAGTGCAAATGCCTGGGATAACGGAACCGCTCAGATCTCGCATAATACACGGAATCTAGTGGTCTCACTCAAATATAAGGTAGAAAATATATTCATATAGTGAACGTAAGGGTTTGAAAGGTAACTAACGCACATGTGTAGAGAAAATGGTGCATCGGCCAGTCTGGCCGGCATTTCGCACTCATAGTGCAGGTGGGGCCAGGGAAAATGGAAACGCTCGTTTCTCAAAAAGTAGAGGGAATCTAACGGTCTCACTCGATCAGAAGGTGGGAACTATATAAATCTAGTCAGCTAAAAAGGTTTGAAATGTATTCAACGCACATGTATAGAAAACTGGTGCATTGGCCAGGTCGGTCAGTATCGGAACTTAAAATGCAAATGCCAGGGAGAACGGAAGCGCTCAGATCTCGCATAGTTTACGGAATCAAGTGGTCTCACTCAAAAAGAAAGTAGGAAATATATTCATCTAGTGAACATAAGGGTTTCAAAGGTAACTAACGCACATGTGTAGAGAAAATGGTGCATCGGCCAGTCTGGCCGGCATTTCGCACATATAGTGCAAGTAGGGCCAAGGAGAACGAAAACGCTCATTTCTCAAAAAGTAAACGGAATCTAGCGGTCTCACTCGATCAGAAGGTGGGAAATATATAAATCTAGTGAGCTAATAAGGTTCGGAAGGAATCTAATGCATATGTATATGGAAAGTGGTGCATTGGCCAGGTCGGTCAGTATGGGAACTTAGAGTGCAAATGCCTGGGAGAACGGAACCGCTCAGATCTCGCATAATACACGGAATCTAGTGGTCTCACTCAAATATAAGGTAGGAAATATATTCATCTAGTGAACGTAAGGGGTTGAAAGGTAACTAACGCACATGTGTAGAGAAAATGGTGCATCGGCCAGTCTGGCCGGCATTTCGCACTCATAGTGCAGGTGGGGCCAGGGAGAACGGAAACGCTCGTTTCTCAAAAAGTAGAGGGAATGTAACGGTCTCACTCGATCAGAAGGTGGGAAATATATAAATCTAGTCTGCTAAAAAGGTTTGAAATGTATTCAACGCACATGTATAGAGAAAATGGTGCATTGGCCAGGTCGGTCAGTATCGGAACTTAAAATGAAAATGCCAGGGAGAACGGAAGCGCTCAGATCTCGCATAGTACACGGAATCAAGTGGTCTCACTCAAATAGAAAGTAGGAAATATATTCATCTAGTGAACGTAACGGTTTGAAAGGTAACTAACGCACATGTGTAGAGAAAATTGTGCATCGGCCAGTCTGGCCGGCATTTCGCACTTATGATGCAACTAGGGCCAAGGAGAATGGAAACGCTCATTTCTCTAAAGGTAGAGGGAATCTAGCGGTCTCACTCGATCAAAAGGTGGGAAATATATAAATCTAGTGAGCTAATAAGGTTCAAAAGGAATCTAATGCATATGTATATGGAAAATGGTGCATTGGCCAGGTCGGTCAGTATGGGAACATAGAGTACAAATGCCAGGGAGAACGGAAGCGCTCAGATCTCGCATAGTACACAGAATCAAGTGGTCTCACTCAAATAGAAAGTAGGAAATATATTCATCTAGTGAACGTAACGGTTTGAAAGGCAACTAACGCACATGTGTAGAGAAAATGGTGCATCGGCCAGTCTGGCCGGCATTTCGCACTTATAGTGCAAGTAGGGCCAAGGAGAACGGAAACGCTCATTTCTCAAAAAGTAAAGGGAATCTAGCAGTCTCACTCGATCAGAAGGTTGGAAATATATAAATCTAGTGAGCTAATAAGGTTCAGAAGGAATCTAATGCATATGTATATGGAAAGTGGTGCATTGGCCAGGTCGGTCAGTATGGGAACTTAGAGTGCAAATGCCTGGGAGAACGGAACCGCTCAGATCTCGCATAATACACGGAATCTAGTGGTCTCACCCAAATATAAGGTAGGAAATAAATTCATCTAGTGAACGTAAGGGTTTGAAAGGTAACTAACGCACATGTGTAGAGAAAATGGTGCATCGGCCAGTCTGGCCGGCATTTCGCACTCATAGTGCAGGTGGGGCCAGGGAGAACGGAAACGCTCGTTTCTAAAAAAGTAGAGGGAATCTAACGGTCTCACTCGATCAGAAGGTGGGAAATAGGTAATTCTAGTCAGCTAAAAAGGTTTGAAATCTATTCAACGCACATGTATAGAGAAAATGGTGCATTGGCCAGGTCGGTCAGTATCGGAACTTAAAATGCAAATGCCAGGGAGAACGGAAGCGCTCAGATCTCGCATAGTACACGGAATCAAGTGGTCTCACTCAAATAGAAAGTAGGAAATATATTCATCTAGTGAACGTAAGGGTTTGAAAGGTAACTAACGCACATGTGTAGAGAAAATTGTGCATCGGCCAGTCTGGCCGGCATTTCGCACTTATAGTGCAAGTAGGGCCAAGGAGAATGGAAACGCTCATTCTCAAAAAGTAGAGGGAATCTAGCGGTCTCACTCGATCAGAAGGTGGGAAATATATAAATATAGTGAGCTAATAAGGTTCGAAAGGAATCTAATGCATATGTATATGGAAAATGGTGCATTGGCCAGGTCGGTCACTATGGGAACTTAGAGTGCAAATGCCAGGGAGAACGGAAGCGCTCAGATCTCGCATAGTACACGGAATCTACTGGTCTCACTCAAATACAAGGTAGGAAATAAATTCATCTAGTCAATGTAAGGGTTTGAAAGGTAACTAACGCACATGTGTAGAGAAAATGGTGCATCGGCCAGTCTGGCCGGCATTTCGCACTTGTAGTGCAAGTAGGGCCAAGGAGAACGGAAACACTCATTTCTCAAAAAGTAAAGGGAATCTAGCGGTCTCACTCGATCAGAAGGTGGGATATATAAAAATCTAGTGAGCTAATAAGGTTCGAAAGGAATCTAATGCATATGTATATGGAAAATGGTGCATTGGCCAGGTCGGTCAGTATGGGAACTTAGAGTACAAATGCCTGGGAGAACGGAAGCGCTCAGATCTCGCATAGTACACGGAATCTAGTGGTCTCACTCAAATAGAAGGTAGGAAATAAATTCATCTAGTGAACGTAAGGAATTGAAAGGTAACTAACGCACATGTGTAGAGAAAATGGTGCATCGGCCAGTCTGGCCGGCATTTCGCACTTATAGTGCAAGTGTCAAACATTATATATGTTATGGTTGTGTAGACTACAGTGGGTTAGCCTATAGGGGGTACACAATTCTAGGGTTTCCTATTTGTACTCATTTCACTGCTAGTTCATTCATTCCTGTTCGCTTATTCTCACATGGTATAGAGCGGGTCCTTCCTAAGGACCGTTTTTTTAGGGCCCACCGAAGCGCGCCCCGAGGCGCGCATTTTTTTTCGCGACCCTTCGGGTCGCCATTGCTCTCGCGGCCCCGCTGTCCCTCAGACGCGGCCCCGCCACCCCTCCTGAGCGCGGCCCCGCCGCCTCCTCTGGCGCGGCCCCGCCGCCTCCTTTAACGCGGCCCCGCCGCCCGCTGATCGCGGCCCGCCGCCGGCTCTGACGCGGCCCCGCCGCCGCCTCCTGATCGCGGCCCCGCCCCGGCTCTGACGCGGCCCGCCGCCGACTCTGACGCGGCCCCGCCCCGGCTCTCTCGCGGCCTCGCCGCCGGCCCTGACGTGGCCCCGCCCCGGCTCTCACACGGCCCCGCACCGGCTCTCTTACGGCCCCGCCGCCGGCTCTCTTACGGCCCTGCCGCCGGCTCTCTTACGGCCCCGCCGCCGGCCCTGACGCGGCCCCTGCCCCGGCTCTCAAGCGGCCCCGCCGCTGGCTCTCTTGCGGCCCCGCCGCCGGCTCTCTTACGGCCCCGCCGCCGGCTCTCTTACGGCCCCGCCGCCGGCTCTCTTACGGCCCCGCCGCCGGCTCTCTTGCGGCCTTGCCGCCAGCTCTGAAGCGGCCCCGCCCCGGCTCTCACGCGGCCCCGCCGCCGGCCCTCACGCGGCCTTGCCGCCGGCTCTGACGCGACCCCGCCCCGGTTCTCCCACGCGGCCCCGCCGCCCCACCTGCAGCAGTCGGGCAGCAGTGCAGCCGAGCCGCCCTGCGTCCGAGCCGCCCTGTCGCCAAGCCGCCCGGGAGCCGAGCCGCCCTGCACCCGAGCCGCCCTGCCGCCGAGCCGCCCGGGAGCCGAGCCGCCCTGCACCCGCGCCGCCCTGCCGCGGAGCCGCCCGGGAGCCAAGCCGCTGTGCACCCGAGCCGCCCGGTCGCCGAGCCGCCTTTCTGCAGAGCTGCACGTCCTGCCCTGCCTGGTGAGCACAGTCCCACTGTCACTGCGTGCTCTTCCCCTACTGCTTGCACTGCTTTGCTGTCGTCCCCATGGCTACCCCTAGTGTCCTAGCTTTTGACGCTGAGGGTCGCGCCATTGATTTTGAGGTCTGGTTAGACGACCTGCAGCTGTTCTTACAGTGCGACAGAGCAGACGGCCTTTCTCTCTTTGACCTCACCTCTGGCGCCTCTCCTGCTCCTGCTGCTGATGCTGATCCCACTGTCCGCTCTCAGTGGGCCACCCGCGATGCTGCTGCACGTCTTGCTGTGCGTCGCCACCTCCCTACCTCTGAGCGTGCGCACTTTAGTCAGTACAAGAGTGCTCAGACCTTGTACGACGCTGTAGTTGCGCGCTACTCCTCCCCTGCCACTGCTGCACTGAGCCGTCTCATGCTTCCCTACCTCTTTCCTGACCTCTCTGCCTTTCCCACTGTCGCTGACCTCATTACGCACCTCCGCACTAGTGACACTCGCTACCGCGCCGCCCTTCATGCTGAGTTCTGCGCTAAGAACCCCCCCCCATGTACATCACTCTCTACAACGTAGTCGCGCGCCTCCCTGACTCCCTTCGCGTAGTCAGGGACCACTTTCTCGCAGTCTGTCCCACCACCCTCACCGTCGACCTCCTCGAGAAGGCCCTCCTCGCAGCGGAGAAGAGCATAGTCGCTGTAGGTGCTTCTCGTGGTGACCCTCGCACCCCCATCTTTGAGGGGTGCTCTCCTTCCCCCTTGCTGCCCTCTGTTGCCTCTGCTGCTGCTGCCGACCTGCTTGGTCTTGAGTCGGTCGGCGCGGCGTCTGCCCCTAGTGGGAGACGTCGCTCTAGCAAGGGCAAGGGGGGCAAGGGCGCGGGTGGAGCTGGAGGGGGCGGTGGCGGTGGCGGCGGAGGCGGCGGAGGGAGTGGGGGTGGCGGCGGGAGTAGTGGCGGGGGTGGTGGTGGTGGTGGCAGCAGCGGCGGAGACGGTGGTGGTGGTGGCAGCGGTGGTGGAGGTGGCAGCGGCGGAGGTGGAGGCGGCGGAGGTGGAGGCGGTGGAGGCGGCAGCGGAGGAGGCGGTGGTGGTGGAGGGGGCGGAGCTGGTCGGGGTGGTACCCAGCAGCGTAGCGGCGGTGGTGGTGGCCAGCGCTCGCAGCGGCAGCAGCAGCAGCGCTCGCGGGACATCCCTCCGCCTCAGCAGCTTCGTGAGTGGTACACTGGGCGTCAGAGGGGTGGGGGTACTGGTCCCTACACCTACGTTCTTCGTTCCGGCGACCGCGCGGGTGAGCAGTGTGGGGGTGCCCACTCCACTCAGCGCTGCTTTGGCCGCCTGCAGACGCTTGGCGTCAGCAGTTCCCCGGGGCTAGTGAGATCCCTCGCTGGGATGAGCTTCTTAGGGCTGGTGTAGCGATCTTTGATCTTGATTTTGGTACTGCTGCGCTAGGTGCTTGTGAGGCTGCTGCTCTAGGTGCCAGTGCGTCTGCGCTCTCAGGTACTGGTGAGACTGCGCTCTCAGGTACTGCGTCACCCTCCTCCTCCCTCACTTTCATACTTGACTCCGGGGCTTCTCGCTCCTTCTTTAAAGACCGCACCACTCTCACGCCGCTTGGTCGGCCGGTTGCCGTCTCCCTGGCTGACCCCTCTGGGGGTCCTGTCCTCTCTCACTTCTCCACTGTCCTCCCGTGTCCGGCTGCCCCTTCGGGCACCCTGTCTGGACTGGACCTTCCCTCGTTCTCTACGAACTTGGTGAGTGGTGCGGACCTGCAGGATGCGGGGGTTCACCAGTTCACTCCTGCGAGTCAGCGGGTGACCCACTGCACGGACGCACGCACAGGCCGGCACCTGGCCACGTTCTCACGTCGGCCGGGGTCGAGCCTCTACACCCTGACCACTGCGTCTCCTCCTGTCCCTGCGTCTAGTCAGGTAGCTGCGTCAGGTCAGGTGCTTGCTGCTGCGTCCCGGTCAGGTCCTGAGTCTGCCCCCTGTTCTTGTCGCCTCCTGTCTCACGAGACTCTCCTGTGGCACCACCGTCTTGGCCACCCGTCCTTGCCCCGTCTTCGGAGCATGGCTTCCCGTGTCCTTGTCTCTGGTCTGCCCCGGTCTCTCCCTTCCCTTCCCTCCGGGCCAGGACCTTCCTGTGTCCCCTGTGTCGAGGGTCGCCTCCGGGCTACTCCTCACTCCTCCCACTTCCCCCCGACAGAGGCTCCTCTGCAGATGCTTCACATGGATGTGTGGGGCCCAGCCCCCGTCCGTGGGCAGGGTCACGAGCGCTACTTCCTGTTGGTGGTTGACGACTACTCGCGGTACACCACAGTCCTCCCCTTGCGCAGCAAGGGTGCTGTCACTGAGGTGCTGATCGACTGGATCAGCGCGGCTCGTCTCCAGCTCAGGCAGAGCTTTGGCTCGGACTTTCCTGTTCTGCGTCTGCACTCGGACAGAGGCGGAGAGTTGTCCTCTCGCCTTCTGCGAGACTACTGTCGTGCACGGGGGATCCGCCAGACCTTCACGCTTCCGGACTCTCCACAGCAAAATGGGATTGCTGAGCGCCGCATTGGCATGGTCATGGATGTCGCTCGTACGTCCATGATGCATGCGGCTGCCCCCCGTTTTCTGTGGCCGTTTGCGGTGCGGTATGCGGCGCATCAGCTCAACCTTCACCCCAGGGTCTCTCGGCCCGCAATGTCCCCAGTCTCACTGTGGACGGGGAAGGTTGGCGATGCGTCGGCGTTCCGTGTCTGGGGATCTCGGGTGTTTGTCCGCGACTTGTCAGCGGACAAGCTGTCCCCTCGTGCTGCTCCCTGTGTCTTCCTTGGCTTCCCCACTGACGTTCCAGGGTGGCAGTTTTACCACCCCTCCTCTCGTCGTGTTCTGTCCTCCCAGGACGTCACGTTCGACGAGTCAGTCCCCTTCTACCGCCTCTTCCCCTACCGCACTCCTTCCCTCCCCCCTCCACCGGACTTCCTTGTCCCCGTTCCTCCCCCGGTAGACCCCCTCCACCCTCAGGTTCCTGCCCCCTCAGGTGTGTCCCAGGTAGACGCAGTTGACCCGGTCGAGGTTACTGGTGACTCTGGTGCTGCTGCGGGTGCTGAGCCTGGGGGTGCTGACTCTGGGGGTGCTGTGCGCGAGGGTGCTGGGCATGGAGGTGCTGAGCCTGGGGGTGCTGAGCTCGGGGGTGCTGTGCCTGGCGGTGCTGGGTCTGGGGGTGCTGAGCTGGGGGCTGCTGAGCCTGGGGGTGCAGCGTCTGGAGCTGCTGAGCCTGGGGTTTCTCCTGCTGCTGCGTCTCGCCGGGAGCCCCTCTCTCCACAGGAGCTGCGCGAGTGGTTCGCTCGCCGCTGGAGGTGTGCTGCTGAGTCTAGGGGTGCTGCTAGAGCTGGAGCTGGAGCTTCTTCGACCGTCGAGGGTGCGGGTGCTGCCAGTCCCGAAGCTGCTGGACCTGCGGGTCCTCCTGGAGCTGGAGCTGCTAAGGGTGTTGGTGCTGAGACTACTGCTGTTGGTCCTGCCGCTGGAGGTGTGGGTGGCGCTGGTGCTGTCGCTGAGGATGCTGGTGCTGTCCCTGCTGAGTCTGGAGCTGCTGCGCGGCCTCGGCCGTACTTCGTTCCGCTCTTGCAGCAGGTTCTTGGTCTTTCTCCTTCAGTAGAGGGTCCACAGCCGGTTCGGTCGCAGTCACTGTTGGAGCCGTCCTCTCCACTGCCTGCTCCCTCTCCTTACACTGGTCCTACTGGAGGTCTTGCTGAGCGTCGTGAGCCTGCGTCCCGTCCCGCGTCGCCTGTTCGTGCTGCTCGTGCTAGTGGTCGCAGTTCGCGTCAGCGTCCTCCTCCTGTCCCTGGCACGCACCGGATGTCTCTGCGTCCGTCCACTGCTCCTCTGCGTGCCCCTTTGCCTTCTCCTTCTGAGTCCTCTGTTCCTGCGCTTGCCGACCCTGAGTCGGACTCTCTTCGTGCTGCCAGTCCTACTGTCACGCGTCTGCTTGCTACTGTCGTCACTGACCCCTCTTTTGAGTCCACTGCTGCGTCTGCTCTTGTCGCTGAGCTCGTCGACTTTGCTGCTCGCTGTCGTCTAGACTACGCTGCTAGTCTTGTTGCTGAGTCTGCGTCTGTCTGTCCTCCGTCCGTCGGGGGTGAGTGTGCTCTTGGCACGGACGTCCTAGAGGACAGGCAGGAGGAGTTACAGTGTCTAGCGGCCGCTTCACCTCATCTCGCGTCTGTACTGCTTGCTCCTGAGGGAGACCCGGATGCACTAGACATCCCGACTCCGCGCTCTTACGCGGAGGCCGTAGAGGGTCCCTACTCCTCTCAGTGGCAGGCAGCTATGGATGTAGAGATGGCTTCCTGGAAGTCCACAGGCACCTGCGTTGACGCAGTTCCCCCTCCTAGGGCGAACATCGTCAGTGGCATGTGGATCTTCAGGGTGAAGCGGCCGCCGGGCTCTCCACCTGTCTTCAAGGCACGGTACGTTGCTCGTGGCTTCAATCAGCGGCAGGGAGTTGACTACTTTCAGACCTTCTCTCCCACCCCGAAGATGACCACTCTTCGGGTGCTGCTGCACATAGCTGCTCGGCGCGACTACGAGCTTCACTCTCTCGACTTTAGCACTGCGTTCCTGCAGGGTAGCCTGCACGAGGAGATCTGGCTGCGCCGTCCGCCTGGCTTCACTGGGACTTTCCCTCCTGGCACCCAGTGGAGCCTCCGACGGCCAGTCTACGGTCTCCGCCAGGCACCGCGTGAGTGGCACGACACACTGAGGACTACGCTTGCGGCTCTTGGGTTTTCTCCGTCGCTGCCCCGTCGCTGTTTCTGCGCACCGACACTTCACTGCCGCCGTTCTACATCCTCGTGTACGTCGACGACTTGGTCTTTGCCACAGCGGACACTGCTGGACTCGCCTACGTGAAGTCTGAGCTGCTGAAGAGACACACGTGCACAGACCTGGGTGAACTGCGCAGCTACCTTGGAATGCAGATCACTCGGGACAGAGCACGCCGCACCATTACCTTGACTCAGTCACACATGGTGCAGCAGGTCCTTCAGCGCTTCGGCTTCACGTACTCCTCGCCTCAGGCCACTCCTCTGTCTACTCGTCACTCGCTCTCAGCTCTGCCTTCGGATGAGTCCGTAGAGTCGAGTGGCCCGTACCAAGAGCTTGTTGGCTGCCTCATGTACCTGATGACCTGCACACGACCTGACCTTGCATACCCTCTGAGCATTCTTGCACGCTATGTTGCTCCTGGGAGACACCGACCAGAGCACATGGCTGCATCTAAGAGGGTATTGCGCTACCTGTGCAGTACGTCGGGCATGGGGCTAGTGCTTGGAGGGCGGAGTCCAGTGGTCCTTACAGGCCACGCGGACGCTTCTTGGGCTGACGACCAGGCTACGCAGCGGTCGTCACAGGGTTACACAGGGTTCCGGCTCTGTCTCCTGGCGGTCTACTCGTTCGTCTTCGGTTCTCGGCTCCAGTTGTGAGGCTGAGATCTACGCCGGGGCCATGGCTGCACAGGAGCTTCGCTGGCTCACCTACCTGCTGACTGACCTTGGAGAGCCGCCTCGTTCTCCTCCAGTGCTGTACGTAGACAACAAGGCTATGCTGGCCTTGTGTCGAGAGCAGCGCTTGGAGCACAGAACGAAGCACATTGCTCTCCGCTACTTCCTTGCTCGTGAGCTGCAGCAGCGTGGTCAGTTGCGACTTGCGTACGTGGCCTCTGAGGCCAACACTGCTGATGTGTTCACTAAGGCACTTGCGCCTTGTGACCATCAGCGCTTTTGTACCCAGCTGGGTCTTGTGCCTGTCTTGCCTCACTTGCTCTCCTCTTGACTTTACTTGTACTGTGACATATATATATACCTGCTCTTGCTTGTCTAGTTTTATATATATGTCTGTACTCCTGCATGTGAACTGGCCTCTGGCCCTGCTCTTGTGCTCAGACTGTGTGGTGACTTTGTGATCCACCCTGAGCTTGCTTTGCTTTGCTTGACTGGTCTTGTGACCCCTTGTTCTCCCCCACTTTGCCTATGGGGGTGTGTCAAACATTATATATGTTATGCTTGTATAGACTACAGTGGGTTAGCCTATAGGGGGTACACAATTCTAGGGTTTCCTATTTGTACTCATTTCACTGCTAGTTCATTCATTCCTGTTCGCTTATTCTCACGGCAAGTAGGGCCAAGGAGAACGGAAACGCTCATTTCTCAAAAAGTAAAGGGAATCTAGCGGTCTCACTCGATCAGAAGGTGGGAAATATATAAATCTAGTGAGCTAATGAGGTTCGGAAGGAATCTAATGCATATGTATATGGAAAGTGGTGCATTGGCCAGGTCGGTCAGTATGGGAAGTTAGAGTGCAAATGCCTGGGAGAACGGAACCGCTCAGATCTCGCATAATACACGGAATCTAGTGGTCTCACTCAAATAT